AAAGACGTACGGCCGAACCCGCGATGGAAGGGGTAAGTGGCGAAAGTGTTTGATATGGTTTGATCTGACGAACTGGACTAATTCACGAGTGTCTCTGGTCTTGTAGTCTTCGTAGTGCCGGTTACTCATGACAGAATTCCACAGATGCTTGATCCTAGACAGCCCAAGAATATAGGCGACATCGTCGTATTAGCCGTGCTAGCCGCCCACATTCTAGCACTCTACGCTCTACCGTCGCCCCTGAGCAAGTACGTCTTTGCTGCTATATATCTCTTCTGGCGTGCTGCTTATAACGTCGGTATTGGCGTCTTGCTCCGCTGGCAGTCTAACGATCATACGCTCGTGGCATGGGCTCAAAAGTGGCAGCTTTTCGAGCTTCCTTCGGCTGGGAAAAACCCACGCCCGTGGCTGTACAACCTGCTTAAACGTGAATCCGAGACCGAGATCCATAGCGAGTTTGACTTCGACAATGCCCCGATCGAGTACAACACGTGGTTACTCTTCCGTCGATTCGTCGACCTCATCCTTTTGTGTGACTTTGTATCGTACGGTCTCTTCGCCATCGCGTGCACCCACACCCCGGTAGGCGAACATGCGCTCATGACGGCGAGTCGATGGGCGCTAGGCCTAGCCATCGTCGTATTCAACTTTTGGGTGAAGGTCGATGCTCTGAGGGTTGTGAAAGATTATGCGTGGTATTGGGGTGACTTCTTTTTCCTAGTCGACCAAGAATTGACGTTTGACGGTGTATTCGAAATGGCACCGCATCCCATGTACTCCATCGGCTACGCAGGCTACTACGGGATTTCCATGATGGCCGGAAGTTACGCTGTTCTCTTTATCTCCATCCTCGCCCATGCTTGCCAGTTCGCTTTCTTGGTTCTCGTCGAGAACCCTCACATCGAGAAGACATACAACCCCCCTCCTCCTCGAAAACGCGTTGAAGAGCAGAGCCGTGACTGTGTACAATCGCCCGAGGCGAATGGCTTGCAAGAGTCTCCGGATGCCCCATCCACATCCGAGCAGCCGTCACTGAACGAAATTCACAACTTGCTTGGTCTCCGAAACATTGACTTATTTCGAAATACCGATTACTCAACATGCTTATTGCTTTTGTACCTTACTATACTGGCACTAGTTACCCCACAAACCCCTTTTTGGCAGTTCTTGTTCGTGATGCATGCACTCGCATGGCGAATCTGGTACTCTGTTGGCCTAGGTTCTATCTTGCATCGCCAGTCAGAAGACAAAATGTGGACTCGCCACTTCCTGAAGTTCGGAGATACGACAAACGAGGCGTGGAGACAGTGGAAGGGCATGTACCACATATCTCACATCCTCTGCTATGCCTCGTTCATTACGGCTTGCTGGAAGATGTACTCGGTTCCGGTCGACTGGAACTACGGCTTCGTTCTCTTACGGCATGTGATCGGCGCTAGTCTCGTCGCTTTGCAAGCCTGGACTGCCATGAGCATCTACGACTCGCTAGGCGAGTTTGGCTGGTTCTTCGGAGACTTTTTTTTCGAGCGTGGTGTGAAACTCAATTACACGTCGATTTATCGGTTCTTGAACAACCCCGAAAGAATCATTGGTACGGCTGGCTTGTGGGGCGCTGCTCTGATTACGTGGAGCAAGGCGGTCTTTGTCCTGGCATTCATTAGCCATCTTCTCACCATTGGATTCCTTGAATTCGTCGAACAACCCCATATGCAGAAGGTATACGGTGAGAGCATTAGGGACGAAGCAGGCTTAACAAGATTCATTAAGCGAACCCTTCCGCCTTACGTGGTGGAATGGCAGAGCAGCGTGAACCAAGTCATGGACCAGACGTCCCATCTAGTCGAGGAAATTCTAGACGCCGCTCGCCCAACCCTAGCTGCCGGCGTTTCGACAATTGTGAGAGACACTACGGCGCTTTTCAACAAATACCCTGCTCGGCTCGGCATTTCCAAGTCGGCGCCGGATCTAGGAGCTTATGATCCCAAGCATTATTCAGTCACTGTCCAGGGAGAGAATTCCTCTGGCTCAGCACTCACAGAGAGATCTAGTGGGAAGGAGGGAACAGCCAGCAGGTTCCCTAACTATCTAAACACCCTGATTTTCGAGTATGGCGCGCCTATCAAAGTCAAATGGACGGCCCCCGCGAACCATGGCAAGAAAGACTGGATTGGGCTATACATGGTTGCTGACAACCAGTCGAGGGAGGTCACTGATGTTTCGTCTCTAAGCCGTTGGATCCCCACAAACCCTGGCCAATATGAGTCCACTACGGCTGACAAGGGTATCCTCTTATCTGACGTTCCTGTTCAAAGATCCGACACCGATGAGGCCGATCTCGTAAAGGGTGAGATGGTCTTTTCAGGAGACAAGCTCTGGTGGACACAAGGCGTTTTCGAATTTCGATATCACCACGATGGTGGCCATAATGTAATGTCGATCTCACAGCCATTCGAAATCCACGTTGCTAGATTCGATGACGATGATGTGCCTGCGGGAGTGGACGCATACGCGAGCTACCAGAGTGCGGTCGAATCGGCCTTACTCCCAGTTGTACAAAACTGCCTAGATCGTGACCCTGATATTGCGCCTAGCAAACCCACAGAGCCTTGGGGTAGTCACGTCGAGCGTGACGGAAAGTACGCAAAGAGGATCGTTTATGCCATTCGGCAGATGTTCGGTATTGAATTCGCCCCGGCAGTGGTCCCCGCCGACGGGAGAATCAGAAACCTTGCATGGAGGATTTGCAATGCGAAGCAAGTACTAGTAAGTTTTACCTATAAATATTACTCCTAAAATCCCCAACCCTCCCCCCCCATATTCGCTCCTCTATTCTAGTTTCTAGTTATACTGATGTCATGCACTACTAGGCACCGTATAGCATGTCGAGTTCTAAAGGGACATCGACCCCAGGAGCTGAAAAACCACTGAGTCCGTAAAATATATAGGGGTGTAGGCAGCGAAGTTGGTGTTGGAAAACTCGAAACCTATAGCGTATTTAAAGAATTAATGCTTTGTCGGTGCATCAAGTGAAACCTATTGACGATGATTGGATCCTCTTAGAGTATATTTATATGAATAAATAAGACCTAGGATTTGCAATCAAAGAGAGGAAGTATAGATATATACAGCATGTCTTGAGTAAACATAGTTGCTATGTTTAGCTTGGTCTTGGGCTGTAGTACGTGCAGTTTACAAACCCCAGCTGTGGAAACGAATAGGATTATGACGTCTGATAGTAGGTTGATGATGGTGAGAGTTGCAACAACGATGTCTTCATGGCTAAGGTATGCCCTTTGACAGTAGGATCCTATCGTATCCACAACAAACCCACGCCCCAACATGACATGATGGCCACGCTCGGCGCTGACAAATCAAACAACCTCACATAAAACCCGTCACCCTCTTACTCGAGCATACTATAACACCGTGCTGAGATACCTTCATCTATATTTCCGGTCTAAAAAAACAACACAAAGAACGAAAGCCTCTGGCCGAAGATTCCAATATTACGTCGTCTCAAGATGCAGAACTACGGCTTAATCAGAGAACATACGGGTACTGCCGTGCTCAAGCCGGTTCCCATCCCTCAGCTACGAGACGACTATATCCTCGTACGCACGGTGGCCGTCGCGTTGAACCCAACGGACTGGACGACGCTCGACGCACCCGGGGACAACGGAACGTTGGTCGGGTGCGACTATTCCGGCATTGTGGAGGAGGTTGGAAAGGCCGTGACACGGGATTTCAAAAAGGGAGATCGTATTGCGGGATTCGCACATGGAGGTACGGCGCAGTGCTGGGCTTAGGCTCCTCAGGGCCGTGTTCGACACATATCACTTTTGGACCTACGAACCAGACTCTTCGACTCCTCTGATTATCTGACGTATGAACAGGCAACGACGCAAACCCCGAGAACGGCGCCTTCGCACGCTTCATCGCCGTCAAGGAGGATTTGCAGGTGCATATCCCGGACGGGGTCAGCTTCGAGGCGGCTTGTACCGTCGGAGTCGGGTTCGGGACGGATGGGTACGCGCTGTACAAGGTTCTGGGATTGCCGTTTCCAGATGAAGTTCCGGGCCATCCCGGTGGCAATGCGGATGAAAATAAACCGACGATTTTGATCTACGGAGGCAGTACGGCTTCGGGGACGATTGCCATCCAGCTTGCTAAGCTGTGAGGGTCTCCCATGTCTTTGCCCCTTTTTGAAAATTTCGATTTGAAATTTGAGGAAAACTCAATATTAAATAGCGAGCCCCCGCTAATAGTTTATTCCGTGTTCCCTAGGTCTGGCTGGAACGTCATCACGACTTGTTCGCCAAAACACTTTGATCTAGTTAAGGACCGAGGTGCCGACATGGTCTTCGATTACGTACGTATTTTTTCTCCCATCCCCCCCCCCCCCCCCTCGCGGCGTAGACCGACCGCGAATACTATTCGAGATAGTGTCTAATTTTGACCCATCTTTACGATCCTCTAGCGGACGCCGAACGTAGGGGAGCAGATCCACGAAGCCAGCCACGGGTCCATAACCAAAGTCCTGGACACAGTGAGCACGCCCAGCACGGCGGCGATCTGCGCGGCGGCGTTTGCGTCACCGTCGGATACTCGCCGCAAGGGGGACCTCATCTACTGCAACCTCCTGGGCGAGGACTGCCCGCGGGAAGACGTGGAGTCGGTCTTCTTCCTCGGCTACTCGCTTTCGGGAGAATCCTATATCTTCGAGGCGGAGGAGTTCCCCGCCCAGCCAGAAGACCTCGGGTTCGCCAGGAAATGGATTCCGATAGTCGACAAGTTGTGGGTGGAGGGTAAGCTGAAGAATCATCCCGAGAAGGTCGGGGAAGGGGGGCTGCTCGGGTGTATTGAGGGTATGGAGGAGATGCGGCGGGGCCGGGTGAGCGGGGTCAAGTTGGTGTATCGGGTTGACGAGACCTCGTGGCCGTCGTGATCCGGGAATGGCCATGTGTTATATATCTACCTCTTTATACTACTATCAAGTATATACGATCATAGCCATAGGAAAACTCGGGATCCCGTCCGCTCTCCCATAGATAAGTCGGTGAGCGTAGGGGCCATGCTACTGGAAGGGCATTAGTACTTGCACAAGAACTCGAACCAAGGGAGGATACGAACATCTTCTCTGTCTGAAGACTGGTCAGTTGCGGTTTTAAATTGTTTCAAATTAACCAAATGCCCGAAGGCAAAAAAGTGGTACACTACATAAAACTATAAGGTATGTAAAAAGTTTGTTAAGAGACTCACAGAGTCTGATATTTACCCTAGAAAATATAGATACAAGAAATAAATGAAAAGGGAAAAAAAAATACAACCCCAGGGATTCACTGGTCGTCAACGACCCAGCTACTAATCTGGCGGTATAAAATCCTAACTAGAGGAGTTAGCATAGGTGGAAACGATAGCTAACTTACCTCCCGCTACAAGCGGCACAGGAACCAGGTCTTGTTGCATTCACATACTGCGGCCGACAAGTTGCACCTGGGCAGTCTGAACCATGTCGGGTTTCAGTCCCCGCGGGACAGCGGCAGCCCGCATACGTGTAAAAGATCATCTGGCAAGCCATTTTATCTGGAGTATTACTTGATCGGAGTGTGGAAGTGTGAGTAGAATAGTTTGTTAGTTTGTTTGTTTGTGTTTTAGTAAGAGCTGACGGATGTGTTGGACTTGTGTGTTACTGGTGGTCTGAAGATAGTTTGGTTGGACGGCGTCTGGTTCGTGGGTATTTATATTGAGTTTCGCGTATGTGAGCGTATGCTACGTGCCTTTTGTTAACACAAGGCCTTTGTCTTTATCAACATGGACCGCCTCTATTGTCAATTTTCCAGTTTACAGCTGCTAAGGCGATTGTATTGGTCATAAAGAACCTGTTGCATATCAACAAACAGGACCTATTTTCAATGTGGTCAAACTTCACATACACTTCTAAGGTGCAAAACAGTAGCTTTCAACTTCAACTACACTTGTTCAAAGCACCCCGAGCCGCCACACCCAATTCCTATGACCGCCCAGTTAGTAGTTTGGTCGGTGACGACAAGCGAATCCCGGGTGTTGTATATTTTGCTGCGCTTTTTGTCAGTCACAGTGATGTACTTGAGTACTCTCTTACTATTATACATGTTGAGTCTATGTCGCCTGTCACTTGTTTCTTCTTATTGCCACCCAAGCTGTCACGGTCCCATATATAAGTGCCTGCAAACGGTCAAGTTCCTAACTTGACAACGTTCTACTTTTGGTAATAGTGTTGTGGCATAGTGTTACAGTTCTGTTTCGTGACACAAGCTTACTAACCTAGATGTTCTTGCGACGTTAATGCTTTCGCTTCCTTCCCCTCGCCGTTGGTCGGCATGTTACGGTCACATCGGAGCCTGGCGTCTAGGATTTCGGTGACTAAGCCACCCCGGGCGGAGCCTTCTTGTCACACCTCTAGGTTAGAATAAAGAGGTGTTCTGTATATTAGTAATGAACGTTAGCATAGATAGTGAGGCTCTCCGCGCAACAACAAGTGTTTATTACACCGCTGTACTAAGGATTATGACACTTCTATTACTTAGGTAAGCTCTTGATGTCAGATTCCCTTGCACTTCCGTATGTGCGAGTATTTTCCAACACTCGAGCATAGGCCTAAGTAATAACCTACCTACATACCTACCGTTAGGAAATAACACGAGACGATGATTCTGCGCGACATGAAGACCTCTAACGACCACCATAAAAAATTAGTTAATCTTTCGGAGTAGGTTGCAAGTCCGACTTCAAGCTGGTGGAGTAGGACTACTGCCCGCTGGTCGGTTCTTTACTTATCTTGATCACATCTTACAAGTAAGTCAAATTTGCATTCAGGCAGATAGAAACTGGATGCAGTGGAAACAGTATTTCTAGAGACATTAGGCCTCATGAAGGGCGGAGTTTTGGCCTAAGAAGCCCGAGTAGGAGCCTACAAAGGGAAGCAGAGTGCTAGGCGGGCAACTCGAAAGACAGACTGAGTTAAATATGTCGATATGTAACGTGATATTAATATAAGTCGTTTCTCCCTACTTTATCGTTTCCTTCGGTCGTAATACCGACCATTGCCTTGAGTACGCACCCTACACCCTGCTCGAGACTCGAGCGCTCAGGATTGGAAGTACCCAATCATGTCCCTTTAATTCCCTTTAATTCCCACGTCTGTGATTCCGTAACCCTGCCTCGTGATCGTGTCCTCCTTTCTCATTCTTAGTAGATAAGTCGGTTGGTAACTATGTGAAAGTTTTGGTAAATCGCTAGTCGACGGAGCAACTTCGCGTTAGGAACATGCCGCTCCCATCGTCCTTTTTCTCCGGGGTGAATAGTGGCAGACCGGCCGTTTTTCTTCAATCCGGCCTTCCTCAATTCGACCATCGTCGTGTCGGTTAACCGCCAATTCCAACCCTGGAAAGAGAGCCTCCAGGCATCGAAGTCCCTCACGATGCCTGGCAAGCTACGGCGGGAGGGGGCAATATACAATATGCTGAAACTGTGGCGGCTCGGCTTCTCAAATGCGAACGACACGTCCCCAGTTTCCGTCTTGGGGTCACCGGCGCAGAGTCGCGCAAACTCTGTAACTGACGCGTTCACCCGTTCGTCCTCAGGGATCAATTCGATCACTCTGCAATTGAAGAAGTCGTATTTCGTTGGAGTTTCCAGCAATCTATCCAAAATATCGATAGAATCGTCGGCCTTTTTACGTTTCCACCACATGTCTGCGTAGCTTAGTGGTATAATGGTGTAACTGATCAAGCTCAAAGGTAGATCTATCTGGGTAACGGGTGGCCGGGCGTGAAAAAAAAAAAGAAAAAAGAGAATAAAGAGAAAAAAACTCTCACTCTCCCTTTGGAACAGCAACACCTTTTCAACTCAATATCAAGCGCTCGGTACGAAATACTAATGGGCTACCGTCAACGAGCTGTAGCTTTGCTGACGTAGTTTATAGTGCGAACGCATGCGTCTCAATTCTAGCTTGCCTTGTGCACTAGCCGCTAGCCGTGGAAACCCAACGTTCCTAATTTCCGTCTGCGGGTGGTATTGGTTAAGACGGGTACTAGAAACGCATTCGTCGGCGTAGAACCGTAGAACCGGCGGACCTGACGAAAGGCGTGTTCAGTATTCCAAAGCTGGTTGAGGGCGATGACGCGTTCTGCTTCGGCCCAGAGCATTAGGTATTTTACTGATGGCATCCGATATTTTCTCGGATACCTAATTTTGTCAAGCTTATTGTACGACGTCACCGAGGTGCTGGGTGCTTTGACGTTAGCCACCGACAATGCTACATTGAGCTTAAGCTGGCGGCACGGTGGTTTCGACTCATGAGCCTCAATTATATGTACTTCTACAGCATCACCAGGGCAATATCACCTCGTAATCGTCGCACAACCTTAGATTACACCCCTATTTTCCGAATTCAATTAACATTATTCGTCACGGACTCTAAATTCAGTACTCTAAAATCATGGTTAAACTTCAAAGGAATGCCTTGCGGTGTAAAACGACCCGTTACTCGAAGCTTCAGTCCCGGATACTGTAAGAAACCCCGAGTGGTTTTTATCGAAGATATCTATATTAAACACCCAGACTACCTAGGTAGGTAATACATGCTCTTCGCGCAACCACCAGCGTATACTAAACCCTTTTTCTCATAGAAAACGGGGTAATTCCGATTAATGGTCATTAACAAGACTCGCTTCAACCGATTCGAATACTTGTCATAATCCCTAGTATAGGGGTGTAATAAACATTTATTGTTGTACGGAGAGGCTATACTATCTATGCTGAATGTTTATTACTAATATACGGAACACCTCTTTTTTCTAGAGGTGTGGCAATGCTGTTTTGCGATTGTGATTCTGGAGAAAATACCCAAGCAACGCACCATCTAGCCTAGCACCACAGCTAGTAAAAGTTACGTGAGGAAGACAAGGTTCCTACCTAAGCAAGGATTTTGTTCTGGGTTTAATAGAAGAGATCGGGCACGAGAGCGAGTTCCTAATGTATGGCGCTAAGACTATCATTTCATCGGAAGAGCCCCAAATAAAGCGTTGGTAAATCAGGAAATTACATTAAAGGAGGAGGAAGAGTTCGACGTTGAGGAGTATTTAGAGAGTGCCTCTCGGGATGAGAGCGGAGCTGAGGAGTAAACAATGGTATCCTTGGGCTTGTGGTTGCGCTGGCTGGTCTTCGAGCTTTGCTTTTTATCAGGGTTACGTTAGACTCCTCGCTTTACATTAGGCGATAGTGAAATGATTATTATTGAACTAGCATCTCCCACGATATGGGGGTATACCGGGGCGTACATATCGGGTGATTGGCATGACCAGACTTGCGTCTGTTTTTTGCAAAATTTCAGGGTCAATATAATCGAAAAGCATATAAAAACTAAGGACTAGGTAGGAGGGGTTCTAGTGTGTCGTCAAAAACACGAGTGAGTAGTATTATATATATGATCCATTCGGGTTATGATGGAACATGTTTACGGCTTGCATTAGGGGGACGTTGATATGCGATAGATGCAGTAGGGTTTCGTTTCAAACCCCATCAACCTTCCAGCCGCGAGTAACTCGAATTCCACTGCCGAAATCCATTTCGACGTCGTGTCCAGGTCGCAGCGGGTTGACGCTTTCCGTCTCGAAGTCGTACGAATTTGGCGTTTTGTTCAAGCCGCCTACGAATTGAGAACCCGCCAGGCTGGGTGTGTTCCCCGCGGCGCCGCTTCGGCGTAAACATCGATTATATAGGTCTGACAGTTTAGCCGCAACCGGCTGCATCATAGGCACGCAGGCTAGGATGATGCCGAGCTGGATTTCAATGACGGTGAAGAGTAGTAAAAGCGCATATTCGTATGTTCTATCAGGGCTGCCAACCTTTGAACGCCAAGCGATACGGAGGAGATTAATGATATTGATCCTGCGATGAATACGAATTAGTTGTCCGAGGGGAGTAGTTAGGGTCCTATGGGCGTTTCCAAGTCACCGCTGGAGGCGATGTCAACACTTACAATACACCAAGCCCGAACATTACTGTGACCGTAATCTTCTTGCGGGTGCCCATCTTAAGCCGCCAGAGGACAGGAGTTG